AAAATCACGAGCAATTCAAGTGGGCTTCCCAGCTTACAGATGTGTCATCATCATCAGTGCTCTGCCAGTATGCGTGCTGGTTTTGCTAAATTACTTTACTGCTGGAGGAAAGGAGACATCAGAAGCTGTTCAAACCCGACAGGCATGCTCAGCCACCACTTCCTGGAGTGGAGTATCCACAAGTGAGCTGCTGTAATCAGACCACTGTGTCCCTCCCATTTTGTGTCTCTGAGACACCAGGCACATATCTCATGGTGCTCTGTTCTATGTCTCAGTGAGCATCTTGGAGAGAAAGACAGGTTGGACACTGGTGCACTAGTGGGAATAGGAAGACTTCAGATATACAGCACTACCATCTCTCTTACTACAGAAAATGTTATTCTTTTGCCCTTCTGGAAGCAGTAAGGAGACAAAAAGCTGGGCTTCTCTCTTGCTATTCTTTGGAAGATATTTATGATCTTTTGCTGTCCCAAATAAAACCCAGTAATTCCACTGTAAAGATGACATGTACGAATTTCACACAAGGCATGAATAACTATTGAAAATTCAAATAGGAGGAAAACCTAAGCCACTGTCAGACCTCACCTACAAAGCCATTCTACATGATCTAATTACATCTTTGCATAGTTTGTCAGTCAGGAGCAAGTCCCTATTGCCATCTCACAATATGTCCTAAAGGCTTAAAGAGTTGCATGGTATCTTGTATATAAAGTGTATTTACAAAAAGAGACAGAATAAAAACTGCTCCTTTTCTATTTGTGGATAGGCACCTTTATACAATCATTAATATATCTCATTTGCAAAAAGGCATTTACAACTATGGAATGACATTCCAGCTCTGTTATTATAGCCATGCATGCTATAAAATCAGTGACCTAAGGCTTTCAAATCTGTTTGCAAAACTGTTATGTTTCACATTTCCCCTTTTATATTTTTCAGCCCAAAATTAAGAAAAAAGACTGGCTTTTTTGCGTCCTTAATTTTCTGTGTTTAGAGCTCATGTTTATTTGTGAAGTGGATTGAGAAACCTTAGAGATTCTACCAAAAGCCAAAACTGTATTTTTCTAGCTTTTTTAAACACAAAAATAATAAACAGTAGTTTAAATGTTAAGGTCTTTTATACAGCCCAAAGGTTCATGATTCGTTCATTGCATCCAACATTTTTTCACATCAGGTGAAAAAAGTATTCCAATGCAGACAAGGAGAACAACAGTAAAGCAACCTGCTAATTACTGATCTCTCTTACGTTCCTGCTGTGCTAAACTGTCCAGACATGTTGAAGTGAAATTTTTCTGCGATTTTCAAGTGACTAGTTCATGGCCCACTGCCGTGGAGTGCAGGAGAAGGGACGAAATGCTTTAGTTTACATGCAACATTTACTAACTGTGTGGGTTTTCCGACATTAAAGAGAGGACAGTGACCCATGCCACCTTTTTCACACTCAAAAGAGCACTGAAAAAACAGTCTTCATAGGCTTACCTCAGGCTTCCCTGGCCCTTAACTCCCTCCCCCCAGGGTAGGAGCAGAAAGAGAAAAAAGAAGGGATTTTATGCTCCTTTCTCTTCAACTTTTCAGGCGGTATAAGCAGCATTTAGCAAATTCAGCCTCCAAATGGCTCCAAATGCTCTGAGCTGCAGGGGCTCATCCTTTGTTAGCCTCCCTCTATTTACACAGGATTTACGCAGGCTCTCCACTGAAGAGACCACATGTTTCTGACAGAAAGCACTTCCATTCACACTGCATCAGGCAACAGGATTGTAACCACTGCAGCTTCACGCTGACCTGAGATTAGGGATTTCAGCAACATTGAGATGGTAACAATCTGCTAACTAACGAAAATTATCCATGGAGAACTCTGCTGCTTACTTCAGTTAAAACTACCGTGGCCAGATAGATTAGGTTACTTAAAAGGGCAATTAAGAACTAGCTACTGTCAAGAATATGCATGTCCATCTACAAATAACATACGCATACAGAGAAATATCAGCAGGGGAAAAAAAAATTTAAAAAAATCATGCTGCAGCTTGGATTAAAACAATTTCACCCACTGGTTGAAGACATAAAGTGTAAAAACAGACAGATGGACACATATGTAAATGTGGCTGCATTTGTTTCTCTGGAACTGGCAAGTTAGTAATAAGAGTGTAGTTTAATGATTTATTTTTCATGGTATTTTCACACTGGTTAACTGGGCAGTGGCAACATCCATACAGAATTTAGGGAGCAGGATAATTCATTCCATCTAATTGGTGCTGGGGCAAACAAACTGAAATAGGTGACCTCTCATGGCTCTACTTACAAGAAGTCAGCACTAGAACCTGATATCAATCTGGGGATTTTTAAAATTTAGTAACATTTTTTTAAAATCAATTTGGCCAGTCAGGATTTCTGCACTGAGATTTTTTTCCCCCAGATTTAGTATTTGTGTCAGGGTTTTCAAATGGATAACACACACACAAGCACAACAAATGTTGCTGTTTGGAGCTTGTGATTTTTTGCTCAATAGCTTTTCATTGGGCAAGAGAAAATTGGATGGGAGCACAGGGCCAGAAAGGACCACATAGATCCAGATTTTTGATGAGTTTTATTTTGACGTTTTAATTTGGCAAATTATTTTGCTTCTGCAGCAAAACAATTCACTTCCATAATAGTAACTCCTGCATGCATCTAATAAGCACTTCAAAAGAACTAGGTATATTCTAAAGTTCTCCATAGTATATCATAATAAAGCTCTTCTGGGCACTCAATGATTCATTTTTAGTGATCTCTCAAATGCCCTTACCCACAGTTAACACTCAGATTTTATTAAGGAAGAAAGCAGGGACAAATGTCCACTTAAGTCCCAGCTCTCAAATTCAACTCTGCTTGCGCTGCAGTACCTAAATCTAAAGCTTTTCTAATGTTCTATTCACCTCCCCTGTGTGGCATTTCTGCTAACACAAGAGTTCACAATCTTTCAGCCCCAAACACAGAAGGCTGCTATCTTCGAGTCATCCAAGGAATGTGCCAGATACTATCATCTCTCCTGCAATACAAAGAACCAGAAAGAGGCAGAGACCAAAAGGAGACCGTGCTGATCAGGTTACTAAGGTCCAGAAAGTCTTTCCCAGAATGCTAAATGTTAATCTTTGAACCAGCAAATGTTATAATTAAGATCCTTGTAGTTGGAGGAAACGCTAGCCTGAGAAGTCAAAGGTGCAGCCATTTGAAGTTGTATTTTTTGCACATTTATCTTAATCTCACACCCCTCATGCTGGCACAACCACTATCAAGCACTTGTTCTATTCAAGCAAAATTATCATGAATGTCAGTGGCAGTTTTGCCTGAGTAAAGAGTGTAAGACCAGATCCTTGTCTTGTTCAAAGAGAATTGCAAACACTGCACAATTCCATAGCAGATACACTCATTAAAACTTGTGGTTTATGCTGATTTATTATGCTCTTCTATTTAAAAGTGAAACTCACTTTGTACCTCAACAGGAAAGTGTTCAATGCACTTGTTTCTACATGGTTTTAACTTCAATTCCCAGCCTCCCCACCTCAGCACAAGTTGGGAAGTTAACTCCCATTTTTTGGTGTCTAGGCTGAAGAAAGACATTATTAAAATAGGTTTAAGTATTTTATATGCTTTGGTAACTACTTTACAGTGTGAATGTAAATAGCTGTTATTGTGTTTAAATTTTTCATTCTACTAAACACTGTCACAAAAGTGTCCTTGTGCTGCAGTCTAATAGAGTTCTTTTTAAATCACTTTTTTATATATTTTTAGAGACGTATTTTTAGTATTCTCATAGTAATTCTGTTAAGAATACCAGCTGCAGACTGGCTACAGCTGGGGCAACAATAACAAGTCATTAAAGAAATCAGCAGACAAAAAAAAGTTGTGTTTGTTTTTTTTTTTTTAAAAGCACGTCTCCTCTAAGAGACTATTTTCCTTTTTGTAGTTCCGGGATAAAGTTTTTAGTTTTCTCAATCAACTGTACAAAAGTAAGTATACATTAAAAAAACTATATTGTATTTAAAGTACCATGTCTTATTTGTTATCCTTTTATTTTTGTCCTTACAGTAGTATCGAATGTGGGTAAAATAGCAAAGTTCAATTAAAATTCTACCTGCAGTTGAAGTTAAGTAATTTAGCTCAATTGTACCTCATCAATATTTAACCTTTAACATTTTGCAGTTGTTTATATATAGCAGAATGTAGAGAACTTAAAAGTAGATGATGGCTAACATCCTGTACTGTTCTTCTTCATTAAATCATTAACGTAGTTCCTTTTAAGAATAAAAGTGACTTTTTTTTTTCAAAGGAAAATAGCCATCAGAGCATCTCAATTTTCCTTACAGCTGTTAAAAGCAGTTATGAACTGTGAGATATTTTAATGTCTTGCAGTTCTCCTTAGACCACATGCTGTTGGACACAGCAGCTTGTTCAGGAGACAGCTCTTAAAATGATGCCCACTAACACAGAAAGAGACCATGTACTGTTCACACTAGAAACCTCTCTTTAAATAACCCTCTTTAGAGGGTTATTTACCTATTAAAAAAGCACCAGTTGAAACATGACGTACAAGTACACATGCATAGGATTTTTTCATCATTTCCAAAAAGTAATTAAAAAAGAGTTAGGACTAGAAAGGTAACAGATAGTTATTCCTGAGAGATACCAAGTTAAAAGCTTCAGTTTTTAAAAAGGACATTTGTTAGGCCACAAGTCCAAAATGCACATTGGTCTATTTTAAGACACATTAAAGAAAAAATGGTGGATGTCTGAATGCACAAAAAAAAGATGTTTCAATAGAAAAGTGTCAAAATGAAGCATAAAAGCTTTTTCAGGTGATAAAATATACACAAATGTGTATGTTACATAAAACACAAGAGTACTGTCTTGATATGCATTCACAAACACTTGAACAGCATAAGAAGAGATGTTTTCTGTGAATGCATAGTTCAGAAAAAATTTAAAAATACAAAACAACTCCAAACTTGGCAAGTCTTACATACCATAAGAGCTCCAACACCTATGCACAGTAGGGTGGATTAACCCGCTGGGTGCTGCAGACATATATATGCACCTCCTCCTAAAGTGTTCATTTGGCTGGCAGTCTGGAAAATGCCAGAATGTGAAGGGTTACGTGGGAACACTCACAGTCTGCTCTTGTAGGTTTAAGTTAAAGCCTGTACTTTAAATATAGTGTGCTAGGTATTTGGAAACATAGCTAATACTGTTTATAAGTGTTACGCTATTTGGTGCTCAAAACTAAGGATTCAATCAAGTGCTCACTCCCACTGGTGAATCATGTTCCAGACTACGACTGCATGCTTTGAACCTGTCTGTATTTATTTTCAAGGGTACCATTTTTCAGAAGTCTTTTCCTCCAAGAAGCCTTGTAAAGGTAAAGTGTAAACCATCTATGACTTATGTGCTATAAATATTGGATGTTTAAAAGTGGAAAAAGCCTAAAATATTTTGTCTTTCAAGTACAGTAGACAGATTAAACGAGCAAGCATATGAAAGCTGAAGCCTCTAGTTAGTCCCTGCCAGTTTCTTAGAGTCTGGCTTCAGCCATGAGAGAAGATAGAGTTAAGAATATCCAAGTGCCTCAAGTTGGAAGAAGCAGCAAGCATAAAGACATGAATTCTGGTCAGAAAATTCCAGCTGCTTGACAAAAAAAAAAAAAAAAAAAAAAAAAGAGAGAGACTTTTACGATATCAGAAAGGCAGATAAGCCACTTATTTTCTTCCATCATATAATTTTACCTATTTGTTTCAGGATAATATGATTAAAAATAAAGTGAAAAAGATGGGATGGGGATGGCCATGGCCACCTCTCTCTGTAGCTAAACTGTCCCATAAGATGCTTTGGATTGCCTTAAGTGATTAAAAGAACTGTCATACACATAATTTTGTAGAAACAGGGGGGAAAGTTTTTGACAAATGTTTTGATGAATTGGATTTTGAAAATAAGGAAGCATAAAAATAGCAAAACCACAGGGTACTGACTTGTAACATTACTTGCTTAAAAGTTCACAGCACAAACTGTGACACTTGATGTTTTGCCTTTTTGCTCATAACTTGTAATTACATTTCAAGTCTTTCATTGTAACAGAAAATATTACAAAACACAAATATGCAGTGTCTACAAAGTCTTCCTAGAGTGGTTTGTATCCCTGAGCTTTTTCTAAGGAAGAATCTCACGAGTTGAACTCCAGAGAACTTCCATGACCCTTCTCCCCTGCTTCAGAGAAGACAGGGTTGGCTCTGTGTAGGGACCCCAAATGAAAAACCTGGCAAGTTGTGAGACTTCCCTTTCTTCAGGTTCAGATGGGGAAAACTGAGTTTCCCTCTGGATCTAGATTCTCCTAACCAGAGAGCTGACCCATCTGCCATAAGATCAAATATAAGCCCCACCAATCAAGTAGCAGTCCAGGCTAAATGTGCTGATGCAACAAATTTCCAGATCTTGATCACACTAGGCAGGGGAGTCATTCTTCTCAGTGATGAAGTCACTGAATGCACTCTTAAGGAGATAAAAAATTAAGAACTGGCTGACTTTGCACCATTTGAGTGAGTTATTCGCCACTGACCCAGAACGACAGAACTGTCATGTTCCGACACCAGCTAGGAATGACTATAGACATGGTCATCTCTGACTCCTTGCTGCAAGTCTGTAAGGAGGAAACAGGAATCATTTCTGAGCTGGTTAGTGGCATCAATCCAGAAACTACAGTGTTTAAATGCATTATGCATTAGAAGAAACTTCACACAGTTTCTCCATCTCTCTCTCCTTCTCCCCCTCTTCTTAAAAACTTGGTGAAATGATGCCAATGAGAGGGCTCAGTACTCAAAACAAAAAAGAAAGCAAATAACATTTCAGTAATAAAGATTTGCCTCAAAGACATTAACCCCCCTTGAAATTTTATAGTTAAGACATTTTTACCTGTGTTTTACCATGTCAGCTTTTAAAACTTACCAGAGACTTATACAGCATATAAGAATTCAGATGCTAATAGCATTGGAGCATTATCTAACACAAGATATTCTATACCTTTCTCTGTTATTGGCTCTGAAACTGACCTTCAGAAAACTTTAGGGAAAGGATTTTTCAAACTGCTCAAATAAGCAAGGAATAAACTTTCAATGAAAACTGCTTTGAAAGTAATACTTAATATTGCTTTTGATAGTAATTGGTGGTGGCTCTCAGATAAGTGAATACTATATTTTACCACTTTTAAAGACAAACATGCCAATGCACCCCTGTGCTCATTTGAGCATTACATTTTTTCAAGTCTGAGCATGGCTATTGTTTTTACTAATTCTTCATTTCTAAATGCATGTCAAAAAAGAGAACATCCTGAAATACTCTGTTAGAAGGCAGATTCTTGGACATAAGTACTTGTGATCAAAATAGATGTGCAAGGACATCTTATTTCTATTCTCCTTCAGCTAAGTAGCACTATTTCAATTTATGTTACTAGGAGCAAAATGAAGTCTTAGCACTGCAATTTCAGTAAAGAGACCACACAGTTGTTCATATTTTTGGCTGATCAAAACCATCAAGTATGAACAGTACTGTCATCCAGTCTTTATCCTCCTGGGGTATATGTGGAAATTTGTTCTGAGAGACAATGTGAAAAACTAAGACTTGGCATTTCCCGTTTCTACCTCTGATGAACTCTACCACAAAACACTTTCTGGACCTCACTTCACCTGCCGCACATGCTGCATTTCTGTTTTCAGGGATGGCACACACAGAGCAAGCCAGTTTTCCCAGGAAGAAGTGCTCTGAGGGACCGGGACCTGCCTGTGCTGCTAGTCTCTCTGCAGTGAGGATGCTAAAATGAGCACCAGCCCTGCACATTTGGATGGAGAGAACTTATCCCTGGCTCTTGGAGAGCAGGAAAGAATTATCACACGGAGTGCAGGTCTGGGACCGATTTTCCGAAACGAACACCAGCATTCACAATTCAATTATGAAGCACCTAACGAGGCCACCTTTTCAACCCTGTTTATTTCTTGCAAAATAGATTCACCTGGACAACAGCAAGGAAAGAGAAGTTATATAAAGAAGATGAGCAGGACATCCTTTTCTCCTCAACTGTGCTACTCTCTGGTACCCATGATGGCTTTTCCCATTTGTGATAAAGGTTCAGTAAATTACAAAAGCCTGGGCCCTAATTGTTGATGGTTCACAGATTGTACATCCTTAGGAGCACCACCCCATCTATTACTGTGGAATTAGTTGACAATACCACTAGTTGTACCAAAAAAATAAACTAATTGGTCTCTGAGGATAGCTAGGTGCTTTGGAAGTCTTTTTAACAAAAAGAAAAAAAAATTATCTCCCATAGTGATTTGCTAGCCTTCCTGTACTCTATCCAGCACATTGGGACTTCTAAATTACATACTATAATTGACATCAAATATCTGTCCCATCAGTGAATATCTTTATTAGCATCAAAATCACTCACAACTAGTGTTCCTCAATGTTATTAAACAGAACTTGTTCTAGGTGTTGCCTTACTAATTAGTCAGGATGAGCCCGAGGAAGAAAATCTGGGTCATGTTAAATTAATTGGAATGAGCATGAAAATTAGCAGAGCAAACTGCATCAATTTTCTATAGAGAGCCTTTCTTCATGTTGAGAATAAAAATGGATATTATGAGGCATTAACCAAACTGCCTTCTGTGACTGCCAAGAGGTGTGTTACAGTAGCCCAAAAATATCATGCTCACAGATTTTCAGAAGTTAATGAGACATTTCCAGGAATGGTAAATACATGGTATTAAAATGGGTGTGCCTCTTATGGGAAAATGCCAAGTCATTTCATGTTTATTCAGGCATAACAAGCTCCTCAAAATGAGCATAATTTAAGAGGTGAATAGTGCAAAGAGGGCTAACATTCAACTAATTTTCCTTAAGAAAGAAAAGATTAAATTGAACAAAAAATGAATTAAGAGGTTTACAAATCAACAAGTCAACCATCAGATTGCAGCCTCTGCTCAGTATATTCTCATCAGCTCCTGCCATGAAGTTTTCAAAAAATGTCCCGAAGGCAGGGAACAAAGCGAGCAGAACTGATTACAGCCACACTCACCGCCTTGCTGTCTAAACTCTGTTTGGCTTCCTAATGAGCTCACTAAAAACCTAATTCATCTCCCATAACCCTTCTCAGCCCTCCTTGAAATTCACCATTATGGAAATTACAGATGAAACATTTACAGGCTGTGTTCAAATTACTGCTTCTTCAACAGGCAGGTCCCTGACCCTCACAATGAACACAATAGAGGTATGTCCGGCATGAAACCACTCGAGCCGCAACCTATAGAATAGAGTCTCAGGAAGGTTAAGACTTTTTCTCATGGTGACAATGATTTCCACATTAATGCTTTCAGTTCCACGAATATGGGAATTTTGTGGGTTTGACAGTATATCAAATACAAATTGTAATTCAGAAGGGGAGAAATGAGTTGTACTGATGACAAATAGCTGAAATAGGCTAATGTGAATTCCCAGCCTGTTCATGAAGAAACTCCCTCAGTTCCTCATTACATGAAGTCAAAATGATCCTCACGGCACCTAGCCTGTAACTGGAAGATTACTGAATTGATGGATCCTTAGTTTAAAATGCAGCTGTTTTATTCTGCTTTAGTAATTAATTCTTTTTCCAATACCATATTGATTAAGCGTAGACCCTGATAAAGTTCAAACTGAGAAGAATCTCTAGTGACTTCCTTAGTTGCTCCAGAGACTCAATGAAAACTTCCTACAATTCCACCTGCCTCCTCAGAGTGCTGATCCAATGAACAGAACGGTTTTTTTCTCATAAATTAGTTAGGCCATGTGGAGCTGTATTAGCTGATCGTTGCTTTTGTCTCTCTACTTGCTGACTTGCTTTTCACTTTTGCTGTCCTTTGTGCTGTCACACACAAAGTCGGAGTGCAGCTGCCATACTGAACCCAAACCAAGGTAAAGAACAATTCCAACAAACTACATTTCCCCCCCACACGCTTTATACAGCTGCAACTCCCTGAGCAGCATTGCACTCAATAAGGCCTCCTGGGATCCAACTAGCAGAGAAATCCGTGCTGAAGCATGCAGTCAT